TTCTCGCTACTTACATTGTGTTCGAGCAGCATGAGGAGCAGGGGGGTATAGACCGCGGGATCCTTTGACAGTCCATCGACCCGCAAGTATTGATTGTCTGGAGAGAAAGGATTGGATCAGGTGACGCCGACCTTGCGGTCAACATCATCTCGAGGTGTGCGGTGATTGCCTAATTGCGTTCAATGATGACAAGAAGGAATTGCGAACCAACTCGCTCTCAAACGGCGCTCGTCCTAAACAAGTACCACGTATTAGTCAAAGGTGTATGTTTCCGTCCGTCTGTTTTTTTCATGTGCTTTTTGTGTAGTTGTTTTGTGCTGCCGTTCCATTTCATTTGTTTTATTAATTCTTCTTGGAAGGGGGGTGAGCGATGATTTTCAATATCCATATATCCGCTCGTTCTGATGCTCACCCCATCCTTATCCCTTATCCCTTATCCCTTATCCCTTATCCCTTATCCCTTATCCCTTATCCCTTATCCCTTATCCCTTATCCCTTATCCCTTATCCCTTATCCCTTATCCCTTATCCCTTATCCCTTATCCCTTCCCACTTTTGCATCCCTCCATTCAAACACAACTAATAGAATATTTCCCAGTAACGAACAAACGCATATCCCCGCTCTCCCTATTCCAACGATCCCGCCCATCCCCATCGGTCCTAGAAAGAGGATAAGCGACATGGGAGAGTATCGAGGAACCTATACACTCTAGTTGCGAACCAACTCGCTCTCAGACGGCGCTCATCCTAAACAAGTACCACGTATAAGTCAAAGGTGTGTTTCCGTCCGTCTGTTTTTTTATGTGCTTGTTGTGTAGTTGTTTTGTACTGCCGCTCCATTTCGTTCGTTCCTATTCATTTGTTTTATTAATTCTTCTCGGAAGGGGGGTGAGCGATGATCTCAATATTCGGATATCTGAACGCTGATTTCATCCGCTCGTTCTAATGCGCACCCCATCTCTCCCCCTTCCCACTTTTGCATTCCTCCTTCCAAACACAACTAACAGAATATCTCCCAGTAACGCACGAACGCATACGCATACATATCTCATCTCCGCTCTCCCTATTCCAACGATCCCGCCCCTCCCCATCGGTCCCAGAAAGAGGACAGGCGACATAGAGAGTGTATTGAGGAACCCATACACTCTTCCTCTGATTCTGTTTTGTATTACAATTCTGGGGGTGAGATGATGGTGAGTTCTTTTTTACTTGATATCGTTGGCTTTTGTTTCTTGCTCGACATCGCTCCCTCCTGCTTGACGTTGTTTTCTCATGCTCGAGTCTGTTGAATGACAACGCTAGAGGCACTTCATTCGTGGCAGGTTCGCACTCGCAATGCGTCAGTACATTTTGGACTTCAATATTAGTACTAGAATCTTGATTCTGAAAGAAATTATCATAATGTGGTACGCGTACAAGATATACATACATAGTCATACACTAAATGACCAGCACGACGTTAGAGGAAAAGAACAAACGAGCAAGCGCGTACAGAAACACGAAACGTTTAACAATTGGACGAGTCACTACGACCCTGCCTAATTTTGACAGACCTCCGCCTTGCTAATTACAAATTCACACCTGGTAGTCTCCAGAGCAGGCTGCTTCTCCATATAGCTACCACTCATAATCGTCGAGTATGGCTCCTGCATCAGAACCATCCGGACTGGGCTAGGCTCGTTGTACGTCTTCCACACTGGAGACTTTGGCAGCTTGTAAGTATTTGGATTGCTGGTGCGCACGAATGAAAGCCAGTAAGCAATGAGCTCGGAAGCGAATGCGCGTTCGACTGCCGTCTGTGGGTCAAATGCGAAAGTGCCGTTGGGACTAAAATTTTATCTCGATCAGCCTGTGTGGTTTTTTAGGATGGTCCGTGTGTCTTACCCATTGTAGGTGCCCCTAAACATCATCCAGATCTCATCAGCATGCTCGACTGGGATTTCGTCGAACTTATTGGGAGGTATAGGCGTGTTGTACCGATAAGTCCAAGTCTCATTTACATATCGCGAAGATGGGATACCCATGGCCTGGGGCTGACGCGTACAAATCCGATGTGGGCATCGTTAGCATGACTCAAGGGACTAGTGTGAGGCTTGAAACTTACAGTGCATCTCGCAGTAGATTCGCCTGTGGCCACCTGGTACTGATGACTCGAAGAATCAAAGTCATCTAGCGGATATTGCTGCAAGAACTCCTCGATGTCCGTGGCTGTCAATAATGGGAAAGTTCCCTTAAGTGCCCGAGGAATAGTTTGGTAGAATAGTTCGGGAGCAAGAGTCTCGTTGGATGTTGTGCTATCAATGTTGACATCAGCGAGAGCGCAGCAACGAGATGACCCGAGTGCAAACATACCCAATTAAAAGCGGAACATGAGCAAAGTCACCGCCCTGGAACTTTGTCGTAGGGTGTCCAGTAATCAGCACGCCGTCTACTATGGGGCTGAATGCACGGTATTCCCTGCCCCATGTCAGCTGCGAAATGCCTCACATAGAGCGGGCAGAACTCACAAGGCGAAATTAAGGAATGCAGCCTCCTGCGCCACTGAAAGCTCACTGATGTCTGCATTACGGAGACAATCCATTTTCTGTTCTACAGAACCTGTACTACACTTTGCTTCTGCTGCGTAGAATTCGAAAAGGGGCTATTAATAGGCGTTAGATGGGGAACTAATCCCGGGAGTCCGGCTTGGAGCTGAACATACCCGCTGTTGCTCAGGGGTGGGAAGGGGCGATCTGACGACGCTCTGTACAATAGCGCGAGAAAAAAGTGGCCCGCGCTCGTTGACAGTCATGTGTAGCTCCGTGGAGATGGCGCCGGCGCTGTGCCCAGCGACGGTGACCTCGTTCGGGTTGCCACCAAATTTGCCGATGTTTGACTGGACCCATCTGAGTGCCTCTCTCTGGTCCTTGAGCCCCACGTTAAAGTCGCCGTATGTCGAATTGGTGAACTCGGGAACGGCCAGAAAGCCAAAAGAAGCAAGACGGTAATAAACAGACACGATGATGACTTCCTGACTCTGTTCGATCCAGTGCTCAAATGGCCAGGCTAGTGGATTTCCGAATAAAAAGGCTATCACAACGAGATGATTAAACACGGTACGGTTGTCCTTGAGAACAGACTTTACCTCCACCATGGATAAAGACCATCACAGGCACTACAATGATGAGAAATAAGAAAACACAGAACAAACTAGTAGGATAGGACATCTAAAACGTACAGTTGCCCCTTTCTTTGGCATCGAGGGGGGTGTAGATGTTGACATGTAAGCAGTCCTCTGATCCTGCTCCTCCCGGCTGCAAAGCTAGGCCACAGAGTCAGAGAGAAGATCTAAGGACGGCAATCGCACATACGATTAAGTGATCCTTGGATACAAAAGTTAGGGGGCTCGGTCGCGTCGATCACCTCCCCATTGGCCTGTTCAGTCACACGCGCTGTGTCCAGAGGGACAGTTGCACGGAAGCGCCGATAGCCTACAGGGGGCTCTGCATATCGTATCCCAAAGTATACCACCGTGTTTGGGTATTCCTCGTCCAGCTTGCCTTGGTATGTCACATATCCCAGGTCAACCGTGGTTCGCGAGTCGACCGCGTTTGGGTACGGTTGGTTGCCCTGGTATGTCGCATATCCCAAGTCACCCGTGGGGCCAAGTGGGATCTGTTCAAGTACACCACTGAAATCCTTGAATAAGGCGAGGTTCAGCAATCCGAAAATTGCGCCGAGCATTGTTGAGTATATAGGCGTCTGCCCTTGCAAGCGTAGTTTTTTAAATCAAACACCCTGGGGTAAAAGTCGAACTGATAAAGTACCGGCTGCATGACGCACTGTAATTTATAGTGTTGCCATCACTGCATCAGGTGAAGTTACTGGAGCGAAGAGAAGTAGGAATTGCGGTTTGAATTCAAGTTGCCAACGAAGTTTAACCGAAGCCGGAACAGCATTAGGGGGTACTTACTTCCTCTTCAGTGTTAGTCTGTGACGCGTGATCCCCACGGGGGTTCTGAGCGAATGCCCGGCTATAACATGATCATATGCGAAGCG